TTGGAGCATTGCATGCGAAGGAGAAGACCACAGCGGGTTCATCTCACATGGAGACCAGTCTGTCCGCATTGGGGAAAGGATCCGGTTCAGGTTATTCTGATGTTGCTGGTACAGGAGATCCACGTTCGTTGTTGAAGTTTGTACGTATGGAGATTCCATTGTTTGACGGAACCAATCCAGACAATTGGCTCTTCAAAACTGAAATCTTCTTCGACCTCCTAAAGGTTCCACCCGAATTGAAGGTTCAGTTAGCCGGTTTGAGGATGGAAGGATCTGCATCTTCTTGGTTTCAATGGAAATACAGAAGTGGAGCGATCCGGTTATGGTCTGAGTTTGCAGTAGAGTTGAGGCAACGATTTGGAGTTGCTCCACAAAACAATTTGACAGGAGCCTTATCCAAATTGTCTCAGATTGGGTCAATGAATGAATACTTAACTGAGTTTGAGAAATTGATGAATCAAACTTCTGGGTTGAGTGATGAGTTGTTGATGTGTTTCTTTGTGTCTGGACTCAATGTTGAAGTGAGGAGAGCCATTGAGATTCATGAACCCAAATCATTACAGCAAGCTATGCACCTGGCAACGGTGTATGATTCTCACTACTCTGAATTGAAGGTTTCGTTGAATTCTGGTGCTAAGAAAGTTCATAATCGTTGGTCTCAGAATACTGAAAGCAGTGGAGGATCAGTTTCAGTGGGATTAACACCAACTATTCCAGTCACATCTACAACTTTGGGAGGTAAGCATGCTTTGTCTAATATACCTTTTAAGAAGCTGTCGAATGAGGAATTAGCAAAGAAGAGAGAATTGGGAATTTGTTATACCTGTGATGCCAAATGGACTAAACAACATAAATGTCCAAGTAAGATGTTGTTACTGTTGGGGGATGATTCTGATGGGGATGGTAATGAGGAGGAGGAAATAGTTTGGAATTCCACAAACAATTCAATTGAGAGGGAGGATGCAGCCTTACATTCCCTTTCTGATAATTCTAATGCTAAGGCATTTAATTTCATAGTAGAGGTGTGTGGGAGGCAAATAAAAACCCTGGTGGATACGGGAAGCACACACAATTTTGTCCAGAAGGATTTAGCCTTGGAGTTGGGTTTCAAGTTAGTCAGGATGAAGAAAATGCGTGTGTTCCTTGGTAATGGAGAGTTCCTTACTTGTGATCACAAATGTCAACAGCTTCAGTTGAGGGTACAGGGGCACCAATTTCTGGTTGATTTTTGGGTTTTGGATTTATCCACAGTGAGGATGATTTTGGGCATGAAATGGTTGGAAACACTAGGGAAGGTAACCCATGATTATAAGAATCTTTCGATGGAGTTTGTTTGGAAGGGGCAGAATGTGCTTTTACATGGAATTTCCAATAAAGGGAACAACAAGGATGCTGATATTTTTAGGATGCAATGCTGGTACATGGCAGAAGCAAACGAGACTACAGAGTCAATTGATGTACTTCCAGAATTAATGGCTAGTAAGTCTATTATAGACCCTTTGTTATGGGAAATCTTAGTGGAACATCAATCTGTTTTCTTATTGCCCAATGAGTTACCTCCTTTTAGGAATATGGACCATGCTATACATCTAGAGCCAGGTTCAAAGCCAGTTAATGTGAAACCATATCGGTATGGGCATAATCAAAAGGAAGAGATTGACAAACAGGTTGATAATTTGCTATCTTCTGGCTTCATACAACACAGTACCAGTCCATATTCTTCTCCTGTTTTGTTGGTCAAGAAGCAAGACAATACTTGGAGAATGTGTGTGGATTATAGAGCTTTGAACAAGCTTACTATTAGAGACAGGTTCCCAATACCTACCATAGATGAATTGATGGATGAGTTAGGTGGTTCTAGCATATTTTCTAAATTGGATCTACGGGCAGGTTATCATCAAATCAGAGTATTACCAAATGACATTTCCAAGACAGCATTTCGCACTCATGAAGGACACTATGAGTTCCTTGTCATGCCTTTTGGCTTGACCAATGCTCCAAGCACATTCCAAGCGGTTATGAATCAGTTGTTTAGACCATATCTTCGTCGGTTTATCATTGTATTCTTTGATGATATATTGGTCTATAGCCCTACTTTATTGGATCATGCTCAACATTTAGGAATCACATTACATTGTTTGAGGCAGCATAAATTCTTTGTGAAGATGAGCAAATGTGCATTTGGAGTAGATAATATTGAGTATTTGGGGCATAGGGTGTCTCGGTTGGGGGTGGAGGCTGATCCTAAGAAGATTGAAGCAATGATATCATGGCCTATTCCTAAATCGGTTAAGCAATTGAGGGGATTCCTAGGCTTAACAGGTTACTACCGCAGATTTGTAAGGCAATATGCCACCCTTGCTGCCCCACTCACGGATTTGTTGAAACAAGGTGCTTTTCTCTGGTCTGCAGCATCACAGCTGGCCTTTGAGCAACTCAAAACAGCTATGTCTAGCACTCCAATTCTGATATTACCGGATTTCCAGGTACCATTTGTATTGGAAACTGATGCATCCAATACAGGCATAGGAGCAGTACTGCTACAACACCAGCAACCAGTAGCATTTTTTAGTAAAAGGCTGGGACCAAGATTAAGTGCAACATCAACATATGTTAAAGAACTCCATGCTATATCAGAAGCAGTGAAACGCTGGAGGCAGTACTTACTGGGGGTCCATTTTACAATCAAAACTGATCATAGAAGCATAAAAGAGCTTCTGGGGCAAACAATTCAAACCTTGGAGCAACAGAAATATGTATGTAAGTTGATGGGGTATTCTTTTACAATAGAATACAAGCCAGGTAAGCAGAATGTCATTGCTGATGGTTTATCTCGTTGTCATGATGAAGTGGTCAGTCCTTCCCTCCATGCCATCCTAGTTGAGCCAATATTTGATGTTCTATCTCAGATCAAGATTGAGAATGAGACAGATCCATATCTGTTGTCGTTACATCAGAAATTAATTGCTGACTCTAATGTTGTTCCTTTTGTTTCTGTTAAAGATGGAATATTATTCCATAAGCAACGGTTCCTACTCAGTTCTGACTCTACAATCATCCCATTGGTGCTTAAAGAGGCTCATGATTCCTTCATGGGGGGGCATGCTGGAGTCCTTCGAACATTGCTGCGGGTGGCTGCATCTTTTTATTGGGAAACCATGCGAAGGGATGTCAAGGAGTATGTGAGAGCTTGTCAGCTCTGTCAACAGATGAAGACCATGACCCAAGCTCCATTTGGATTATTACAACCCTTACCAATTCCAGAGGGAGTATTTGAGGACTTAACCTTGGATTTCATAGTGGGCTTGCCACCTTCCAATGGTTTCACCACAATTCTGGTCATTGTTGATAGGTTGAGTAAATATGCCTATTTTGGTGCTTTACCTACTTCCTTTACTGCTGCAAAGGTAGCCAATCTGTTTTGTGAATTGGTAGTTAGAAATCATGGCTTTCCACGATCTTTGCTTTCTGACAGGGACAGAATTTTTTTAAGCCAATTTTGGTCTTCTCTCTTCAAGAATAGTGGCACAACCTTGAAAGCAAGTACAGCTTACCATCCACAGACTGATGGCCAAACTGAGGTTACCAACAGGTATGTGGAACAGTATTTGAGGTTGTTTTGTAATGACAAACTGAATGAGTGGTCCAAGTTGTTGGGCTGGGCACAGTTGCACTATAATACTGCAACACATTCGGCTATTGGGATGGCCCCATTCCAGGCTCTGTATGGTAAGCCTCCTCACCAGATTCCTTTTTATCCCAAAGGTTTGGTGAAAATAGAAGCAGTGGATACTTTGTTGAATCAAAGGAATGAACTGTTGAGCAAGTTAAAAAGGAATTTGCAACAAGCACGAAACAGGATGAAGTCTCAGGCAGATAAGCATCGATGTGATAAGGTGTTTGCAGTAGGGGATTTCGTTTGGGTGAAGCTTCAACCATATAGACAAGTCTCGGTTGAACGTCGTTGTAATCATAAATTGGCCAAGAAATTTTTTGGGCCTTTTCGCATAACTAAAGTGGTGAGTGCAGTGGCTTACCAACTTGAATTACCACAGGGCTGCCGTATTCATTCGACTTTCCACATTTCTCTGCTGAAGCCTTGGTTTGGACCGCCACCTGATAAGCCCATTTTTGTTCCACAATTTGTAGTGGATGGTAGGCCTGTGCAGGTACCTGTTGCCATTTTAGATACCAGGACAGTTACGGTGGGACACCATGACAGAAAGGAGTTTCTGGTGCAGTGGACTGATGCTCCTCCAGAGGATGCTTCATGGGAGAGGGAAGAATTCTTGAGACAGGCTTATCCAGACTTGAACCTTGAGGACAAGGTTGTGGTTGAGGAGGGGAGGTATGTTAGGGAGAAGGATCCAGCAATAAGGAGGACATGCAGAGAAAGAGTTCCTTCAGTCAAGTTGAGGGATCATTTCTGTTAATAGTTACTTGTAAATAGCTAGGAGAAGAATGTATATTGTATTAGATTGAAATAGGAGAACATGACAGGTGTAAGTATACGTGTCCATTTGTAACAGAAATTGTACATGTGTTGTTTAAATACAACCGTGTAAGAGAATTCGATTGGATTGAATAAAAAATAGTCATATTGTTCTTGTTCCTTTCTCTGGGTTTTCCTCTTTAACAGTGGGAGATCAATTTTGGTCGAAAAATAGACTTTCATTATCGACGACCACTCCGTTCAACATCCTACGCCGACGAATGCCTCAAAACACAGAAGCTAAAACACCACGACCGTGTCCGACATGGTCCAAATCGCGTGTCGAGATAGTCAACGTGTCTCAAAATATTCATTGCGTGTCCAACGCGTGTCGGAACTTGTCGGGCACCAACACACGCATTTTTCAGGTAAAAGAACGTGTTGTACTTCATAGGCTGAGACTACAAACGCCCAAATAAACAGCTAATTAAAAACAAAACTCATTTAAAATTTTGAAAACCAGAACATCACCCATTACTGAACTGAACTAAAAACTTAAAAAGAACTATCTTTTGTAAAACTATTTCCCACATATCATATCTAGTCATCGTAACTAGGAAAATAAGGATAGGAAGGCTGCATGGGGAAGGGGGACAGAGAGAAACCGATTCTATGTTCCTGAATCAAAATAAAGTAAGATTTTTACAAATATTGAATGTACAGAGTTACCATTCTAATCAAGTTAAATGGCAATTTTAATCTCCAATCCTTCTGTTTCCGACTTAAAGGCCTGCCTTTTCTTACAGGGTCTCTATTCTCTTTAACGTCTGCCAACTTCCACACACATATCTCTGAGTCCTTTTCTATACAATCTAACAAGAAAACTCCTTCTCCTTCTGGGCAATTGGACTCTATATCTTCTGCATAGAAGACTCTCATAGGAATGTCTTTGAATCGATCAAGATCATCCGGCACCTTTAGTATTCTCTCAGCACCCGGGGATGAAACCTTCAAAGCAAAATTGTGCTTTGTTAAGTACCAAATACGCTTCAAAGGAACAGTCATTTGCTAATGAATAAAATCCCATTGGAACAGAAGTATAGGACACAACTACCATGCATTACCTCAAGAGCCAAATCATCGGGTATCTCTCCAAGTGCTCCAACTTCATCTAATCTTTTCTTGTATTCTTGATTGTAGCGTTCAAGCTCTTCCATGCTTGGACACCCATATCTGAGAAAGATAGAAAGTTGAACACGAAACAAAACTGTACAGTGTAAGTATCAAATAGACAAGGAAGGCACTGAAAAATCATAAGTAAATTATGCATCACTAGGTGATCGAGTTTGAATATGCCATGATGTATAAAATAATATTTTATGTATCTTTTAGAGATGTAATATAAAACCATTCATATATTTTCACTTAATAGCTTAAACTTTTGGGAGTGTCCGTCCATAACATGGTATCAAAGCCTGGTCATTTCTATTTTTCTAATAAAAAGTTGAATTTCAGCACAAGGCAAGTGTGTCTATGCATTGTTCACACTTCAAGTTCAAAGGACTCTTGTGTGAGGGTGCATGTTAAAGATGGAATATAAAATCATTCATGTGTCTTCATCTAACAGTTCAAGCTTTTGGGAGATTTGATTCATGACACTTAATTTGTTTCAAATTTTGTCACTTTAAAAAACTAAGAAGACATTAGTTATTTCTTTATAATTTTATACTTGTCTCTTACTTTACTCCACTAAGTGAAATAAGAGTGGGCATTAATGGAGAAGATAAATCATGATAAAAGCACTATTGTAAACTTTCAAGAAAACCAAATTAAAGTAGGGTGATATTGATACTCAGGACGAAAAGAGAAGATGATCTTAGATAAAAAATTGTCTTTATAAAACTGCTGCATCAATTGTTTGAAAGAATTTCTTAAATGAACCTTCATCAATGAATACTTCTAAATCTTAGTGCATTTTTATGTGTGACCTACTAGTGGCTTCACGAGTCGGAGAAACAACATCGGCATACCACTAATAGCAGCGGACAGCGGCGACTGAGGATGAAAGGCTTGGTTCAAGCACGAAGAAGGCACAGATTCAGGAGAGGGTCAGCTGCAATGAAGGTGGCTGCTGCTAAGGCTGCAATAGAGACATGCTAGGTCTAGGATTACTTTGCAGAAGAAGAATCTCCTAGATAGGGAGCTCTCATACCAAATTGAATGGAAAAATACTAAATATTATTTCTAAATAATTCTGTACATGGGTTTGTTCTAATGTATAGAACTAGCTGAATAATTACTTTCCTATAATGACTAAACCATGGTAACAGAATACTTTACAAAAATTACATTACAAAGAATATTATGTGGTGATGCTTGTAGAACACAAGTGGGACTATTACAACAAAAACCATTTTTAGCATATGCTATGCACAAACTGGTATGAATGTCTAGCATAGCACTAAGAAGCTAAATTGGGACCATAGGAGTAGTTTATCTGAAAAAATGGAAGGAAAAGGAGATGTGGCAGGTGGTGAAGTCGGATAGTAAATGATTTCAGCAGAACACAATTAGGACCTTAGTTATAGTAGCAGATCATGGTTGGAGAAAGATGATTAAAGTTGGAATGTGAATTGAGAAAAAGAATTATATCTTAAAACAAAGTGATCTCAATTTCTCAAAGTTTGTCTCCAACAAAATAAACTTAATCAATGCATCAAAACTATAGAAAGAGGGAAAATGGGAAATACCTTTTCTCAAGAATTTAATTTTCATAAAGTAAATTAAAAGTAAGTATTGAAAAGTTTATAATTTTCTCAAGAATTTAATTTTCATAAAGTAAATTAATAGTAAGTATTGAAAAGTTTATAATACAAGCATTCCCATACTTAAGTAACCAAGTGCCACCAATTATTGAAGTGAAAATCAATGCAGACTCTCCTAGCATTAGTGCATGGTTCCATTGCCCATCAAAGGCCTCTCATCACCGTTACACTACACTGGAGGTCTTTCCTAGATACTCAAGGCGTCCCCAGCTCAACAATTAAGGCACATTGCCAAAATCCTTTCCAAATCTGCACCCCTCTTTTGACTGTTGAAGCCCTAGTCCTACAGCTCAACAAAGGCTTCAACACCAATGGCAGGTCCCCTTGCATTTAAGACAGGTCTAGGCAACCTGCAGCTGCTAGAATAGACACTTTAAGTTTGACTTGGGCCTGGCTGTTACCTCCCCTAGCCATTCAGCTAAAGTTGTGACCACTCTCTTGATGCCCTTTGAGTTATTAGCCTATCTTACCTGCACTAGCCTCCTTGAGGTGCTCTGTTCTTCCCTTCCAAGACCTCCAGGGGTTGGATCATTTGACTAGTTAAACACCATTACTTCTCTATTTGGAACCCCCCCCCCCCCCCCACACACACACACACACACACACACACAAAATGAGCTAATTAAAAGAATGTAAAAATTTCTCCAGATGTTGTAAATGACACAAGTTGAAACCTTACTCATCTGTTAATTTGTCCAATCTCACATATACATATCCACGAGGAGTAGTCTTGAAAGCATATAGTTTAATGTCCTCACCGAACTGCATAAGGACCTCCTCAGCAATAGAGAGGGCTCGCTGACCCCAAGGAATATTTTGCAAGGCAACTCCACCACCATCTCCCCCATCACCAATCTACACACAGACATAGCACCAACTTTTAAGCAATATTGATTTATATTCATCATACAATTGAAATCAAGAGCTCCACGTTTAAGCAACAATAGTCCTTGATTTGAAGACATGGTACCTTAGGCTCAGTCTCGTCTTCTTCTTCCCATCCATCTGTGGTTGCACCATCATCACTTGTCTCACCTGCAAATTTACAATACTTGAACCAGTTAAGATAGTAGTTTCATAAAAACTTGAGGAAAAAAATGAGATCTATAACTTCACATAGCCTCTTTTGCTAGGGACATCTATCAATGAGCTAGAGAAGAAAAAAAATATACACCTAGTAAGGATATCATATGTTGCAAAGTAAAAAAGAACAATGACAACAATTATAATAATGACATGTGTGTTACTAGAGGATCTTAGTCAATGAGTTGATAGTAAATATCTAAACAAGAGATTTTATTAGATTAAACAGAGGAGGACAGAAATTCCGTGTGAACAAAGGCATTAAATTGATACAAAGGAAGAAAGAAAAGAAGCTTCTCTTTACAATAAAACTCTCAAACTCTTCTTCATATCTTTCAAGGACATTCCCTTAAAAGAAACCATGTGCAAAGCCCCAAAAGGAGGCCATATTAAAACAATTCTATTCAACAGCAGATCAAGGGGAAAAGTAAGAAAGAATGTTTAAATTATTAGCATTCAACTCCAGCAAGACAATAGATAGCATAGTGATAAACCTTTAGTTTATCTTGTTTAATGGACTAAAATAATATGAATTATCTAGTTGAACAAGTCAAAAATTAGGGTTTTAAAATGAATCATGAACATTATCTGATTGTTGGAACTAAATAACATATTTGCTATTTTTTTGAAGGGATTTGATAACAAATGGATAAAATATGAAGATTTAGATAAAGAGAGATCAAATCAGAAAAGAAGATGAAACAAGGTGAAAACAATAAGATTGAAGATCTTATCAAGTTGTTAGAAGTGGGAGCTTAAGCCCCCATTCAGAAGCTTAAGCTCCCTAAAAACGCAAATAGCTACTGCCTCTGGGCGCTTAAGCCCCCAACTCAGGGCTTAAGCGCGCCACAAGAAGAAAATGTTGTCGCAAGGAGCGCGCTTAAGCGCCCTCCAGAGCGCTTCAGCGCGCAACGCGATTCAGAAATCACCGTCCTAGGGCGCTTAAGCGCGCTACAACAGGCTTAAGCGCCCAGACAGATCCAACTTAGGCCCATTCGAGTTTTCTACTAGGATACGAACTCTTGGCCAATAAAAGGGCCATTGGGGACCAGAAATACACAACTTTTACATTGCTAAACAACTCTTGGGTGCTTGGAGGCTGAAGGAACGCGGAGAAACATCAGATTCATGTTCGTGAGCGGCGGAGACGGATCAACGTCAAGTGTTCACTGGAGATATTGAAGATTCACCAATCACCTATGGAGTTTGGGGGAGCTTTTCTATTTTCTTTTGTTCTTGATTTTGCTATGTCCGGCTAGTTCTTTAAGTAGTTAGGGTTAGATGGATTTTAGTCGATTTATTATGTTTTGAACAATTCGCTGTGTTAATTTTCCTTTATATCACGAATGAAGTTATCTGTTTTTAATGCTTTATATAGGCTTGAATCTTATATAATGATCATCGGTGAATGCATGACAATAGGAATGTTGGTGTGTGATCCATATCTGGTAACTTCATCGTAAACGCTATGATTCTAGGGATAGACATAGGGTTTACGTAATCTTTAAGATTCTTGAACTTAATGCTTGCATGCTTGGGGAATAACCGGGGAACTAGGGTTCTTCCAATATTGTAAAGGTTTTAGAGTAACAAGGGATTGAGCTCTAATAACATGCGAAAGAATTGATTAGATTGATACTAAGGACAATTAACATTAAGAAGGAATTCAAACGTAATAAGGAGATTAAATGAAATCGAACCCCTAGCTACGTTTTTATTTTATTAGTTAAATCACATTTTTAATTTATTGTCTTTAATTCTTGCAAGTAATTAGCTTAATATTTAATATTTTAATTTTGCAATTCAAATCCTGTTTCCAAATACACTTTCGATTGTCCAACTAAGTTTGCGATAGTGAATTAGTACTTGAACCGTAATCCTCGTGGGAACGATCTCTTACTTAATCATATATTACTTGTACGATCGGTGCACTTACCGTGTGTAGCAACACATAGCAGATCTCTGTTAAGTTTTTCCCTCTTCACTCCTGCCAAGACTCTCCGAGACTAGTCAAAAGAAACTGTTTAAACTCAAATGGTATACCAAAGATTAACCAAAAGTCTCAAATAACCAACTCCAAAAGGGCTGCTAAAAAAGACAGGCGCTCTTTCCAAATTATAAGAACACATGATGCAATATTACCAGAGACAGATTTCTAGGGTGGTCTACCTACTGAGCAAATACAAGACTTTTAGTCATAGAGGGCTTTATGGATTAAGAATTTTCCCTCTTATCTGAAAACGGGTAAGAAACTGAGAATCCGGAAAAATAAATTAAAAACGGAAAAGGAATAAGCTATACATACACAACAAAAGAATCAATAGTGAAACCCTCCTATATTTAATTTAAACTTATAAACCAACAAAAAAATACGGGTTTACACATAATCCAGCTTCCTGAATATGTACTATCAGCTCCATAAACTACACAACACAACAATGTTATTGGGCATAAATTTGGGGAAAAGTGGATTATCAAGCTCAACAGAAACATGGGTTATAATTATCAAGGTATTCCAAACCAACTACTTCATTCAAATCAACCCAATTAAGTTTTTTTTTTTATATAAATGAAAATAGACACCTCAAATTTGAACAGCGAAGAGAATACAGAAAAAGATAAATGAGTAAATACAGAGAGAGAAAGAGAACCTGGAATACGGTGAGAGAAGGAGGCGTTGAAAAAGCGAAGGGAAGTGGAGGAGAAAGGGTAAAGGTGAGAGTTTGAAGGAGAGAGAGATGGGTTTTGGAAATGGAAGGAGGGTGAAGAGTGCAAACGAGTACGTAGCAGAAGAAGAGCACCACCAATATTCCTCATCCTCATACTCATAACTCTTGCCATTGCCATGTTTGATGCTTCGTTTCACACTTCAAATCCCAAATAACATTACATTTCAATCACAAACCTATGAGCATGTATGAGTATGACTATAGCGAGCGTTCTACACAACACAGGATATGACGGTTGTTAAACCTACATGCCTCTTATTTAGTATTTTTTTTTCTTGAGTAAAAATTCAAATTGTTCATTTAAATATAGGGAAATATTACTCTCCTTATACATGAGGTAACTTATCTCATTTTTTCTCACTTCGATTTTCGCACCACACTTTTTTTTCTTTTCTTATAATGGTGGAATCCACCCATTTTCTCTCTACTATCTTATGTGGAAGGAGATTAATAAAACCCTTAAATATAAATGACATATCAAGTTATTTGATTAAATTGTAACCAAAAAAAAAAAAAGTTATTTGATTAAAGGTTTTAGACGTGAATAAAGCTCTTAAATTTATATTTTTATATAATTAAATTTATTAAATTTATATTAAAAAATACTAAGTTTGGGTTTAATTTGCTAAAAAAATTAGAGGCAGTATAAAAAAAGTATACTTTGTCTAATTTGTGAAATAATTGAAGTACTAGAGAAGACATAACTCTATGAATAGCACAAAATTAAGGTTATCAAATTAAAAATTCAAATCATGAATTATCAAGTTAATTATTAAATCATTAATTTAAGACTCATAAATCATAAATCGTGTGGAATTACAAGATTTAGGGATGCAATAAAAATTAATTTGAAATATATTATATAAACAATGCATAATGTTCAAAGTAATAATTTTAAACTAGGAATGTCAAAATAACTTAACTATAAATCTTAAAAAAATAAAATTATTAGTCATAATTGAATCACATGAGGTGAGTGCATGAAGCCCATGTTTCGAAAAGACAATAACATAATGATTATATAGAAAAAAGAATTGATGAACTTTTTAACATAGTTTAATCATTATATCTGCAAAATAATTGTTTCAATTGTATATCTTTAGAATGTTCTACAACTACCCAAACATAAATAAATTCATATAGCTGTTACAATAATCAAGTTCTTTTAATAATATACAATATTTTAAGGATAGTAACTCAATGTAAAATTTAATAATTAAATGTTACTCATTATAACAATTTTTATGTGCCCGACAAAATAAAGCCAAAAATACATAATACATTATAGCATTTAGTTTTCGTGGGCAAATCCGCAGCTTACCCGTTATGATAATACATACAGATTCGTGGCCTTTAGCTGCGTCGTAGTGCTTTTTATTCGTGACCGAACTCATCATAATTTTCTATGCGTTTTTCTTGAGTAGGCAACAAATGAAAACTACAAATCATTATCTATTACCTACAAAAAAATACTAAAATATAAGGGTTAAATCAATTTCCTAGGTGAGCAAAGAGATAGTTGAACTATCTTCTTATGGACTTTGGAATTAAAATTTCTACATAATAAATACGAAACATGTAACACAACTTTGCCTAAGATTGAACTTGTTTGTGAAATAGAATCATCCAAAGAAAGAATAAAAACGGTGGCTGCTAGTCTGCTACTAAAGAACTGCATCTAATGAGGAAGGGATTCGTGACCAGCAGAATAAGTTAACTAAGTAGTAACTAACCAATTAACCATATAACAACGAACAACAATGTAGAGTTGCCTCCTTTCTACCAATTTATATCCTAAGAGAGTTTGAAAAGTGAGTCTAGATGCTACTCTATGAACCCGAATACTTTCTGTTTGAATGAAACTTTTCAGTTCATATCTAGCACTTTGGTATATTCTATTTGTGCTTGCATTGAACATCTTTCGTTTTTGTAAATCATATTATTTTCGTATAGTTGGATCGCCTTGCTAGAGTTGCTTTATATATTGTTATTGATCAATTTACATAGTTAATTTCATCCAAAGAGAGGATAATTTAGTTTCCTTTACAACCACTTTCTCCCATTCCAAGCTAAGTATGGGATGGGACCATACCATGAGATGGTAAGATAACTAATATGCTTTCAGCCCACATAAATGTCAAATGACTCCCCAATGTAGCAATATGAACTGTAAACCTCACCTTCCAGTCTCCCACCCACAAAGAAATGATTGTCAAAGTAAAACAAAATTAGAGGAATGATCAGAGAGAGATCAAGACAGAAGAATGAAACAAGACCAGGCTTTTCACTAAACATTAAGAAATTCCTATGTATTTTCAGATTAATACATTCAACTACTTAGCATGAACATTAAACCTCACCTACCAGTCTTCCACCCATAAAGATATATATGATTGTTTAAGTAACATAGAAAAAAATAGTAATCAAGGTTAGGCAGACATGCACTGACTTCTACCGGAATCATTGGTTATTGACTAGTAAACAAAAATAGTAATCAAGGTTAGGCAGACATGCACTGACTTCTACCGGAATCATTGATTATTTGACTAGTAAACAAAAATAGAGGACAAATTAGAGAGAGATCAAGAGAGAAGAGTGAGACAAGGCCAAGATTTTATTATAAGCATTGGCTATTGACTATGAAGCATATATTGTTGGCTCCATGTCATGCCTCTTGGTCCACACAAAATCATTATATTACTTATAAATATGGCGTCGTTCAGACGCCTCTTTGTTAGGAAACAAAACAGATCAATTGACTTGATTTTTTTATTTTTATTTTTGGTAGCAGCAATCAAAATTCAAACTCAAGATGTCATGTTGATAATGTTGCCTCCAGTATTTAAGTGCAGAGTAAGAGCAGGAAGGAATATGCCTCTTCCGTGTCTCCACCCAATTATCAAACCCCAATAAAGCTATTTAGCAGAAGAAAACACACTATCCAGTGACCTTGTATTCCTCAACCAAATGAAGCCCTTTACTCTCATGTTACCTGCATTTTGGTCTAGTGGCCTTCACCTATTTCTTCTCTTTACTTTGAACTCTTTGTGGTTTGGCCCAAACACAACTACCTCTGCATTAGGAAATGAGACTGACTATTTAGCATTGCTGAATTTCAAGGAATCAATATCCCATGACCCATATGGAATCTTGGTCTCTTGGAATAGTTCTACCCACTTCTGCAATTGGCATGGAATCACATGCAGTTCCATGCATCAAAGAGTTACAGAGTTGAACTTACAAGGATACGAGTTGCATGGATCCATATCTCCATATATAGGCAACCTCTCATTTTTGAATAACCTCAATCTCCAAAACAACAGCTTCTACGGAAAAATCCCACAAGAATTGGGTCGGTTGTTACAACTTCAGCAACTCTATCTCACCAATAACTCATTGGCAGGTGAAATTCCTACAAACTTGACTAGATGCTTTGATCTCAAATACTTACAATTGCGAGGGAACAATTTGATTGGCAAAATACCAATTGAAATTGGCTCTCTTCAAAAGCTTCAATTCTTGAGTGTTTCGAACAACAACTTAACCGGAGGAATCCCACCATTCATAGGGAATCTTTCATCCCTAACTCTTATCTCATTGGCTCTTAATCATTTAGAGGGATATATTCCACAAGAAATATGTCACCTGAAAAACTTGACATATATAGTTGTGGTTATAAACAAAATGTCCGGTACATTTCCTTCTTGTCTTTACAACATGTCATCTCTTACTTTAATCTCAGCTGCAGAGAATCAATTCAATGGCTCTCTTCCACCCAACATGTTCCACACTCTTCCTAATCTCCAATATTTTGGAATTGCACAGAATCAATTTTCGGGTTCAATCCCAATTTCCGTTTCAAATGCTTCTGCCCTTCAAACACTTGATATGGGTGAAAACCATTTCGTGGGACAACTTCCAATTATGGATAAGCTACAAGATCTTCAACTCCTGCGTTTGTTTAGTAACAGTCTTGGTGGCAGCAATTCAACTGAGGATTTGGAGTTCTTAAAATCATTAACAAACTGTAGTAAGTTGCAGATATTATCTCTGTCCTCCAATAATTTTGGAGGTCGTTTGCCAAGTTTCTTGGGCAACTTATCCACCCAAATCAGTCAACTATATCTTGGGGGTAATCAGCTATCAGGAAAAATTCCTGCAGAATTAGGAAATCTGATAAGCTTAACTATCTTGGGCATGGAAGTTAACCACTTTGAAGGGATTATTCCATCTGCTTTTGGGAAGTTTCAAAAGATGCAATATTTAACATTGAGTAGAAACAAGCTGTCAGGAGGAATACCAGCCTTCATATGCATCCTCAGCCAACTGTATCGTTTGGATCTAGAAAAAAATTTGTTTGAAGGAACCATTCCTCTAAATATAGCAAACTGCCAAAATTTACAATACTTAGACCTTTCACATAACAATCTTACAGGAACCATACCCCCGGAGTTGTTTAGTCTTTCCTCTTTAACAAATTTGCTGGACTTGTCAAAAAACTTGTTCAGCGGCAATCTACCTGATGAAGTGGGTATGCTAACAAATATTGATATGCTTAATGTCTCTGAGAATCATCTATCTGGTAATATTCCTGGAACCATTGGAGAATGCATAAGCTTGGAGTACCTTTATTTGCAAAGGAATTCCTTCAATGGAGTCATTCCATCCTCTTTGGCTTCACTAAAAGGTCTTCGACAATTAGACTTATCACGAAACCACTTGTCTGGATCAATTCCTAAAGATCTGCAGAATATTTCTTTCTTAGAATACTTGAATGTATCTTTTAACATGTTGGATGGTGAGGTACCAACTGGAGGTGTCTTTCGAAATGCAAGTGAGTTAGCTGTGACCGGAAATAATGAGCTATGCTGAGGTATTTCAGAGCTGCATCTACCGCCATGCCCTGTTGAAGGTAAGAAATCTGCAAAACATCATAATTTCAAGTTGATAGCAGTGATAGTTAGTGTGGTTGCTTTTATTCTCATACTGTCATTTATTCTAACTATCTACTGGATGAGGAAAAGAAACAAGAAACCATCTATGGATTCACTAACAACTGACAACTTGGCCAAGGTTTCATATCAAAACCTACACCGTGGAACTGATGGGTTCTCAACAAGAAACTTGATAGGAGTTGGAAGTTTTGGCTCTGTGTACAAAGGAACTATTGAGCCAAGAGAAACAGTTGTTGCTATA